GGGGAATTCTGGGAGTTGAAGTCCACACATCTTCAAGCGGCTGAGGTTGAGAAACACTGATGTAGAGCTTCTAAATATGGTCCAATATTAAAACTTTACCTTAAGGGATTTGGCAGGAGGCAACTTTTTCTTCTGGTTCTTCCTTTGCTGATTGAGAAGTCGGGGGAATAAAGGAACAGGTTGGTATAATCTAGTGAAACCCAAGGTATTTTAGTCCTGCCTCCATTTGTAGAACTGATATGAAGTACAGCTAAATAAGAAAATGTCGAGAATTCCTGCTGGCTATGTGGAAATAAAGACTATGATATTATAAGAATATGTGTCATTGGATATGCCAGTCAGAGGCTTGGATTTAGAATAGTAATATTCATGCAATCCTGAGCAAATGCTGCCAGACTAAAATAAAAAAATGTTTTTTTCTACTGTTTTGAGTTTCAGGTTTCTCATCAGAGATCTTATTTAAAACTTAGAATCATGAGCCAAATCTGTCCATCTTTTATAATCTAAACTGCCTCTTGGCCCAGCCTACTAACAGTTGTGGTGGGGAAAATTGGCAGAAGGAATACTGTGTACACTGTTCCTGGAGGAAGGGCAGGATAGAAATCTAATGAATGAATAAATAAATAATAAACACTTCCTTAGCAGTGTTTTCTGTGTGATTTTTAATCAAAATGTTGGGAAATTAATAAAGAAAAAGGAGTTGATCATTCCCTTGTTTAGACAATGGAAGGTTTTGTTTATTGTATGAGTGGTATTAAAATATTTTGTTTTGGGGGGATTGCAGGCAAAGTGTTGCTCATGATGAAGGATTTGGAGTACCTTTGTTACAAGAAAAAGCAACAATAACCATTTAGACTGAAAAGCCCACAGATACAGATTATGCATGGTGTAAAAGTATCCTTTAAAAAAAAGAGAATTCGAGGCATTCCCTGAAGGGAGCTATGTCAAAGCATCAGGGCTGAGTCTCTTCCTCAGCACAGGAGCAATAGATGTCTTAGATGGGAGGGCAATCCAACGGTTAATTATGCCAGATCGTTCACTCATAAAAACAGGTGGCAGCTCCAAGGAAATGAGAAATCCAGGAGCTTTTCTCTCCACAGAGAATTTTTGCTCCCTTCGAGTTAAGTTTCAAGGGATCTGATGAAGTGACTAAAATTCAGAATGGTTCCGGTGGAGACCCGTATTCATCCTCCCCCTCAGTCACGGAAAGGACCAAGCAAGGCCTAGGCCTTCTTGAAAAGGAGATTTTTTGCCTGTGAGCATCTAGATAAGCCATTGGCCATTTTAAGCTCAGAACTATTGCTGCCTCCTCCCAGGCCTTGAGAAATGGAGTTTCCCAGAGAAACAGCAAGAGGTCTTGCTAGGCCCTGTAATTGGGTGCAGTTAATGAATTGCTGAATGGGAAACATCCCTGTCTTTTTTGTCTTAGAGCCATTTGGACTAGAAGAGCAGTCAGTATATTGATGGAGCTGTCTCTGCTCTTCCCCGGGCCCTTGGAGTCTGTGAGATGGTTACAAGAGCAAGTGCAGAAGAGCCTATTTGCAGCTCTTGGGGCTACAGCTGATAAATAGATAGTTTGTCTCAGACCTATGGATTTCTTTTAATTTATGTTCAGTAAAAAAATAGTTTGTCTTGGACCTGTGGTTTTCCTTATTGTTGCTAAATTTCTCCTGGAAGAGAAATTCTTTCCTCCATTAGAAGGATTGTCTTTTGTATATCAACAAGGGATTCTTATGGTAGCATTTGTTATATGTGCCAGTTATTTCCTTGCTATTGAGTTGATTTAGTTGAGCAAAGGGGAGGGGGTGGGGTATCATAGAGATGGGGCATCAAGGCCCTTAACTCTAGCCCACTCCTCTGTGCAGAAATCCAAATTAAAGCATCCCTGAGAGATGGCCATCTAGCCTCTGCTTGAATAAATCCAATGAATGGGAGCCCAGCACCCTTCATGGTAACCGGTTACACTCAATTTGCTCTTATGTTAGGAATTTTTTCTAACATTCAACAGGAATCTATCTTCCTATTCCTTAGATCCCATGTCCTATACTCTGGAATGAGGGAGAACAGGTGTCAGTCTTCTAGGTGACATTGTTTCAGGTATTGTTTATTTTTATTAGTCATAGACCAGTACAATTAAAAATGCACAAAATGTGTCTAATTAAAAATTCTTAGCTATAATAATAGCAAATAAAATCCATATCATAATTATAATTTGGCAGCCTACCTATCATTTATACATGAGGTCAAGCGGCCTATACTGTAGTATATTATTACTCCTTAAATTATGACAACCTATAATTATTAGTTATTAGCTACTAAAATTACAATGAAGTGAAATATCTAAAATTGAAGCGTGTTGGTTATATAAAAATGTTTACAATAAGTTGTTCATCAGATTCCAACGAATCTTTAGTGCTGCTGTGCAGAATCTGGCTACCTGCGCTATGACTATAATCCGTTCGTCTTTAAGCAGAAACTGTAGATATTCAGTATCAGAGCGGCCTGGGAACCTATTAATCATCGGATAAATAAATTTTGTTTGAATGTCTCTATAGAATGAGCATCGAAGAAAAACGTGTCCAGTGGTTTTTATTTTCAGGTATTTGAAGAAATTTATCATATCCCATCCACAGTCTTTGGAGGTTAAGCATACCAAGGTCTTCAGTCTCCAAAGGATTTAGTTTCTAGTCCCTGAGCATCCTTGCTGCTCTTTTCTGAATCTGTTCTAACTTCTCTGGGTACTTGTTGTAGAGCAGTACCCAGAACTGAACACAATACTCGAAGGAGAGGGGTGGTGGAGGGAGTCTGACCAACTACATTTACAATTTGAAAATTATAAACTATTGTTGATGCAGCCATAATTGCATTTGCCTTTTTTGCAGTCACATCACATTACTGGCTCATACTCAGTTCCCAATCAACTACTGTTCCAAGATCTATTTCACAGTACCATTCTTAAGGCTGTACCTGTGCATTTGATTTTTGCTTGTTAAGTGCACTTGTCTCTGTTAAATTTCATTCTGTTACTTTCAACCTATCTTTTCTTAACTATCAAAATGGTTTTGAATCTTTTTTTTGCCTTGTTAACTGTGCTGTTTACTTCCTTTTCAAGACTTCCTACAGTTCTGACTAAGCAAGTTAATGTATATCTTTCTACTGATACGATGAAGTTTTGTTGGCCTCTGTGCTTCCAAATCATCAGATCCATCACTCTGGTTTCCAGGAATGGATATAGTTAACACCTCACAATATGGAAGTTTATTTGATCTTTGTTTAAAGACATTTTAGTCTCTTGGACTCCCAGTCTAGTCTCTTTTCTATGAGGCAGTTTTTATTCCATCCTCTGAACAGCTCAGTCAGAGGTTGTTTTCAACAACAGAGGTTGTTTTCAACATAGTGTCTTTCCTCTCACAATGGAATAGCATCTAGAGTAGCTCTAGCTAGTTCTTTCACTTCCCGTTGTAAACCTGTTAGTTTAGAGAAGCGTTTCTCAACCTTAGCAACTTTAAGAGGTGCGGA